TCTGGGATGCACCACGGATCTGGGATGCACCACGGTAAATGGGATGCACCACGGTAAATGGTAAATTCTTCTTCTTCTTCTTCTTCTTCTTCTTCTTCTTCTTCTTCTTCTTCTTCTTCTTCTATTCATAGACTGTCCCAGCCGCCCTCAGGCAGCTATGCAGCGCTCAACTATAAATACAGGTGTTTCCTACATCTTGCTTTCGGAGATCAAGCTGTCCTTGTCCGACCGCTTCCTCTTCTGCTCCACGCAGTTGCTCCTATACTAATAGTCATCTTAGTTGTCCTGTATCCGTGCACTTGTCAAGCCTTTCCTGGCTTTCCTCAACTTCTATTTGCTAATAATCACTCGTCCACGTTAAGTGTATTGTAGTACTGTGGATGGGACTGGTAAATGGTAAATGGGATGCACCACGGATCAGCTAAACCTTGGCAGGGGATATTGGAAATGCTGAAAGCACGTAACACCGGAAGCAACCAGGCATGGCTTACTTCGGTAATAAAGTACCGAAGCAAAGAAGCTTGGCGGCACGAGGGAGACACTAAAGCTTTGCGACTGCGAGTTATGTAGTGACCAAATCGCCTCTTTTGCGGTAACTCCTAGCATCTGCTGTGCCTCTTCTGCCTTTTTTCCTCCGTATTGATCGAGGCTGTACACTTGATAGTCGCTTCCCATGCGCAATGGCAAAAGTTTCCTTGTAGCAGAGGGTCATCGTGCAGTGTTCTGAGGTAGATTTCTTGCTTGCTTCAATCACGTTCAATTCACGGCGCTAACTGTTCTCTCTTGCAACTTTGCCGAAAGCTTGTCCAATATCTCTAAGAGTTTGTTCATGAATAACTCCCGCTTTTTCATCATGTTAAGCAAGATGGAAAGTAACTTCTCCATTTGCAACAAGAGCGTGACCTCGGCTTTCCATCTACCGCAAGGTTCCATGAAATGACATATTATTTCTTTGAGGAGAACCTCTCGTTCTTGGGTTTCTGAATCATCTCGCCCGATAAAAGACCGCGGATGGTATGCTTGGACAACGTTAAAGATATTTTCTCCACACTTCACGCGCACGACTTGTTTCTCCTTTGCTGTGGTCAATGAAGACCCGAGCACCCGAGCAAAATCTTCGGCATAAAGACCAAGTTGCGCCGACCAGGATTTTGTGGCACACTGACAAGAAATTAATATCTCCGGCCTCAAAAGCATCAAAATCCTCTCAATGAGGCCATAGGCATCTCTGATCGCCGCCGCCGCTTGTTCTTCTGTTACTGACTTCAACCAGAGGTCACTCAACAGAGGACAAACATCTAAGATAACCACGTCGTTGATGTGCAGTCCACATTCTTACAAGACATCTCTCAGCCAGACCAGCGTTGGGCAACTCTCGACCATGGTCTCGAAATCGAGTGTATCATGATATCTAGAAGGATTTTGAAGCAGGAAGACCGGAAAATTCCGGTTCCCAGATGCTAACGTCATGAAATTTTCGGCTGCGCGTATCGGAATCTGCCAGCACTCGCATAAAAGCTCAACCATTTCGGATATCTCATGATCAGGATCGAACCTGAACTCCAGTCGAGCCTCGATCAGTTGCCTTTTCTGTATGGAGTGTATGATTTTGTCATTGTATGATATATTAGGTAGTCGTGTTATTGACCGTGTCACATTGATATCGAGTCTGCTGAGGGTGGCTGCTATTTCATCCATCATGCCTTCCGAGATTGAAACAAAATGCGGTGCACCAATTCTATTTGATCTTTCACCACCGGGTACGAACCTTTGGTAAGAGATATGTCAAGTGGGAAGGAACACAGTATATGATTAATGCACCCTCAAAGTACGGCGGCTAATATCTTATTTTGCAAAAGGAAAGTATCCAAAACACGGACCATCGAAACCGATACCAAGAGCCAACGCAGCAGGATTTGATAATTGATCTGACTATAAGCAATTAACGAACGCAAAGCGCCGCTACCACTGCTGTATTATTCTGATCGTCACCAAAGCGGACCTCGTTTAAAAGTTTTGAGTACGACTCATGAGGTTGATTTCGTTCGGCAACGACGAAGCCGAGACTGAACAGTACTCCGTTCTGGTTCATCTAGCAGCTGATTGTGGTCAGCGTTCGAGACTATTGCGCAGCCGTAAGCAATGAGCTTGCATCATCCTGAGTGCTCGATTGCTTTTGGAAATAGGTGTGCAAATTCAGCTTCAATAGAACTAGCGCATTGACCAAAAACAGGGGGAAAACGGTCTACTTTGGAGATTATTGACCCAATTATTGATTCATAAGCCTGTTTGAGCTATCAATACTGCCAGTTGTGGAAATATTTATAAATCTGCGGCAATTGATCATTTATAAGTACCGCCATCAGGAGTATGTGCTAACGGTCTCGATTCTACATATATCAGCATCGTTGCTACAATGACTATGAAAGCGGATGTGTCAACAGAGGCAGAAGGCCCCCTTGGGGGCCTTCAATCCGCCCGATCAACCTTGCGACTCGAACAGATTGCAAACCTTCGTGCTCTCGGCATTGGTAACCATATTGGCTTGCCCCAGTTGCTGGTTTGTGGGGATCAATCTGCAGGGAAAAGCTCAGTGCTGGAAGGGGTAACAGGCATCCCATTCCCCAGGCAAGATGGTCTCTGCACAAAATTTGCTACGGAGATTTTGTTACAACATTCAGCTGTAGAGCAATTCATCGATGCGTCAATTATTCCATCACCAATCCGACCAGACGAAGACAAGGAAAGGTTCACCACATTCCATCGTCGGCTGCACGGATTCGAAGATTTACCAATGGTGATCGAAGAGGTCGGTCGGTTGATGGGCATTCGAGGTGTCGGTGGTAACGAAGTTGGACCGGCATTTGGGCTTAATGTACTTCGTATTGAGTTCCATGGTCCAGTCGGCCTGCACCTAAGCATTGTTGACGTTCCAGGCCTGATCGCGGTACCGAATGAGGAGCAGACAGACGATGATGTGGAGACCGTCCATCGCCTGGTCGATAGCTACATCTCCAATCCTCGAACCATTATTCTGGCGGTTGTGCAGGCCGGGAATGATATTGCAAATCAGAGCATCATCAAGAAGTCTCGCCAATTTGACCCCGATGGGGAAAGGACTGTAGGTATCATCACGAAACCGGACCTAATCAACCAAGGTTCAGAGAAGCGGATTGCTCTACTGGCATCCAACAAAGATACTACAAAACTCAAGCTGGGGTTTTTCTTGGTCAAAAACCCTGCACCAAATAAACTAACGAAAGGCATCACGCCTGAGCAGAGACAAAAGGACGAGATCCAGTACTTTCACACTTCTCCATGGAAAGAGCAGTTACTGGATCCTGATCGACTCGGAGTCCTGGCTTTACGAAAGTTTCTTCAGAAGCTTCTTAACACGCATATCGAAAAGGAAATGCCTAACGTGCGAAAGGATGTGAGGGAGCTGCTTCAGAAGACTGAGTCTGACCTCGCTAACATGGGAGAAGAACGCGATAGTCCCTCTAAAATGCGGATGTTCTTGACGAGGCTGGCAATGGCATTCCATCAGCGGGTAACATCTGGATTGAACGGCACATACGACGATATCGACATGGCATTCTTCGCTTCTCATCATCAACACCCCTCTCACCGTCTGCGTGCTACTGTTCAAAACCTTAATACGAAATTCGCAGAGACGATGAGAGAGCGAGGAGGAAAACGCCGCGTCGTTTCAGATGACCAGTCTGACATAGATTTAGATGAACATGACAATGTCCAAATAGTGCTATCTAAGAATCAGATGAAGATGTGGATTCGCGAGGTTTGAATTGCGATATGATGATGATCTCGAACGGGTTACTCATGTTCTCTCCTAGGTGTATCAATCCAGTCGAGGTAAAGAGCTTCCAGGAACATACAATTATGTTCTACTCGCAGAGCTATTTCATGAACAGTCTTCCCGATGGCTAAGCATTGCTGAAGAGCATATGCACACTACTGGAAGTATTGTTCGCGATTTTGTGGAGGCAGTCATCCGCCATACAAGCCCTGATCAAAGCGTCTCGGATGAGATTATAGAATTGGTCAGAATAAGTCTGCATGAAAATATGAGACATGCTGCAGAAGAGCTGCAAAAGCTGTGGTAGGATGAGCAGTATCACCCAATTACCTATAATCACTACTTCACCGACAATATTCAGAAAGCTCGTCAGTAAAGTACCAATGATGCCGTAAAACGTGCTGTGGTTGAGACCAGGGACCAGGAATGGCACGGAAAATTGCACATCAGTAATATTCAGGGGGATATTGAACGATTCCTGACCGGCTTACAACAAAGGGTTCAAGTTAATATGACTGAGCAGGCTTATGATGAGGCCCTATCAGGACTTCAAGCGTACTATAAGGTACAATGGAGAATCTTAGGACTACGCTAAAGCTGACTGAGTTAGGTTGCGATGAAAACCTTTGTCGATAATGTTTGTAGGCAAGTGGTGGAACGTCACATTACTCGCCCACTACCATTGATCTACTCCGCGGAGAAAGTTGCTAGACTCTCTGATGAAGAATTGTGCCGAATTGCTGGTGAGACACTCGAGACGTCGGCGAAGAGAAAGCAGCTACAGGAACTACGGCGAAACTTAGAGATGAGTCTCCAGGAGCTGAGCCGCTCAACCGTCGCCTGATGATAAATTGGGCAAGGAGGACTGACTGCTCGAAAGGTTGGAGAAGTGTGAAAGTGCTGTATCTCGTCCTTTTGTCTCTGTTCAGGTTGTTTTTTTGTCTTCGCAGATTTTATTTGGTGAATTGGCAAAGTATCCCAATCTTGTGACTAGACATTACGTCCTTTCAACAAGGATCAATGCAATCTTATACGATTCTGAAAGTGGGGCGATAGGCTTTGAAAAGCCGTTTTGATGAAAAAAATTGAATCACGTGAAAATGGACTGAAGAAAGTCTGGAGTTTCAACTAAAGTCAATTCACATCCTTCTAATGACTAAAGTATGAGACTGAGTCGCATCCGTAAATACACGGGCGTGAAGAATGCCATTAGGCGTAAGTGCAGGCAGGAGGCAAGTATCCCAAAAATGGTCTCTGTTCGAAATCAACCCCTGGAGGGGAGCCCATTCTAGTGACCTGTGGTTTTCGCCTTTACCACCGTAGCATCCTACCTGTCCGGCTTGGCGTAAAAGCAAATGTTTTCGAACCATCCTTTTTAATTCAACTTCAACTATGATTACTGGTGGCGGCGAACGTGACGTACACACACACACAATTTATTACGCCCGGCGGCAAAGCCGAAAGGGCAAGCTAAAGCTGGTCTACTAATACATTTCTCAAGATATGCCCTAGTCTCCTTGAAGCCCATACAATGTACATCTCCTCTTCGCTATGTGGTCCCAATCGCTTGCTACGTCTTTGCGGAGTCTCGTGTTAGTAATCTTACCGTAGCAGTCTGGCTTGAAGGCGATTCCTCAAGTGTTCAGCATCCTATCCTCGGCAGCTGAAGCGCGCCTGCCTTTTTGACACGAGTTGTGATATAGGGGTGCGGAAATGATGGTGAGAGGGTGATTGTGGATTCGTCAGGTGTTGTCAAGTCGTCCTGTCGCTATTGCAAACCGAATCGTAGCCCGCACTGCCGTCAGGTCCGGAGTCCAGGATTTGTCGTCTGTCGGTGTCTTCCCGCCTAGGTAGAATGATATGTTGCTTCTGTGGGTTTCGGTACACTGGAGCATCTCCGTGCGGAATGCCGTCCATTTGGTGCATCGGAAGAGGAAATGCTCGACTGTCTCTCTCGCTTGTCCGCATGCGCATAGATCCGTCGGAGCGGCATTGATTCGGTGTAGATAGGTGTTCAGTCGGGCCATGCCGGTCCTGAGTTGGGCCAGCACGTTCGCTTCCGTCCATGGAAGTCGATCATACAGCAGCCTCGTATGCTTGCCTGGTAATGCCGTGTCAACTCTCTTGGAATGTACTCCGACCTTCTCTGGCAGGCTTCTAGTGGGGCCTCGTTTGGCTCGCGCGTTATTGAGCATCGTGGACTTCATCCCAGGTCGTGGTTTGGGTGGCCGAGCCTTCGGACCAGTGGCTTTTTGTGCTCTGTCTTTGGCGAATCTCTGGAGTTTGTTGTCATCACGTGCCGGGGTCCATATGACCGTCACCGTATTGCCCTCTTGACGTAGACGTCTGATGAAACCATAGATACGACCGAGGTATTCTTGTCCTGATTGTTGGTGTGGGCGTCTTAGAGAGAGCACCGCGGCCTTGTTACTTGTCGAGAGTACGATTCGGCGAAACCGGAGCTTAGGTAGCAAGCTCAGGGCTTGCACCATCGCTGCCAGTTCTCCTGAGTACGGGTTTTGTTGTGATCTTGCACCGATCGTGGCGTAGAAGGTCCTGCGCTTGGGCTTGCTGCGTGCTGAGGTGGCCAGCTGAGTTGCCCCACCGATTCCGACCAGACCCTTTCGCACCGAGCAACTGACCGCTATGTGTACTGCCGCCTTTTCCTTATCTTCTGCAGTTTCGTTGAGGATGGTGTGTACTCGCTGCTCCCAGGGTGCTAATGTGAACGGGTTGATGGTCTCGAGCTCTTCCATAGCAAAATCCTTAAGTACCTCTGCCACTTCGTACAGCGGGGAGCGATACTGTCGCCTAAACCTTCGCATCCGTGACGTCTTCCTGCGAAGTGGGTTGGTGTCCGGCAGTGCATGAACATCTGTCCAGAGCTTAATGACCCGTCGCCAGAAACGATCTTGCACCGGTGCGATGCCGGCTTCGGCTTCCGCCACGCTGGTTGCCACCGTCATAAATGTCCCCACAATCGCTTGCGCTCCGATCCTTTGTACCCGATTAATAGGTCCTTTGAGCTTATCTTTAAATGCATGCATCCAGACATTGGAGGCATAATCCACCACGGGGACGACCGTAGAGGTGAACAACTGCCGTGCAGTCGCCGGTGTCAGTCCTCTCAGCCGTTTTAGCTCGAGGGCGGCCTCGAGGCCTTTGGACGCAGCCCGTGCGGCGTGTTCCTTGAATTTGATCTTGGCATCCATGATCACTCCGAGGATCTTGGTTTGGTTCTTCGGCTGGACATCTTGTCCCTTGATCTGGAAAGGCTCTGAATCAGACTTGTATGATTTGCGGGTGAAGTGGATGATGGCCGTCTTCTCCGCCTCGAACGTCGCACCGCTTCGTCTTTCCCAATCCAGCGCGTCCTTGATGATGGCTTCGATACCCTGGCGGTTGCTCTGTGCGGTGGGTCCGGTGACCCACGCCGTAAAGTCGTCGACAAAAGCTATGGCTCCTCCATGGCTGTCAATGTGTCGTTGGACCAGGTCGGCGTTGAAGAAGAGAAAGAGGACCGCAGACAACGGGGAGCCTTGACTTGTAAATGTGATTCTTCAAGTGTATCCTATTAACCTATGAGATTCTAGGTACTTATATACTTGTAGGCTTGGTCTGCCTATACAGGCAGCCAAGCCACAGACTCCACCGTGGCGTATATGCCTAGTAGGCATACACGCTACCTCGTCACGTGCTGTTCAGGAACAACTCTCCCACTAGCTGCGGGTGACGGGGTTAGTGCAGGAGCTCTTGTCCATCCCAAGTCCTTTTATTAGATTCTCAAAGGCGTCTCTGGGAAGCGGCTTTGTGAGCAGGTCAGCTAGGTTGTCCTTGCTGCTAACCCGTTGGGTATTGATTCTCCCCCTGAGTGTCATTTCTCGCAGAAAGTGATATTTGAGATCGATATGTTTTGTGCGATCATGCAGTTCCGGATTCCGTGTCAGCTTGAGTGCAGCATTGTTGTCGATTAGAAGTGAAGTTGATGCAACTTCAAGATCTTTGATGCGAAGGTCGTTGATCATGTTCTGGATCCAAACGATCTCCTAAGTGGCCTTGTATCCAGCCACGTATTCAGCTTCGCAGGTTGACATTGCCACAGTCCTTTGTCTTCTAGACGACCATGATACAGGGCTCCCTGCAAGTTTGACAACGTAGCCGGTAGTAGAACGTCGAGTGTCTGGACATCCGGCCCAGTCGGCATCAACATATGCATGCAGTTCTCGATCGGCACAGTTCCTTTTGAAATGAAGTCCGAGGTTGGGTGTATTTTTGAGATACGCATAGATATCATCGACGGCTTTCATATGCTCTTCGGTTGGGTTTGCACAGAATCTGGAGACAACTCCCACTGCTTCTGCAATGTCCGGTCGCGTGACCACCATTGCGTAATTGAGTGCTCCAACTTTTGATTGGTATCGCCGTTGAAAGTCAAGAGCTCTTGGTGGACCATCATTTTTGGTTAGTTTCGGGCTTGTTCGCATGGGCGTCTTTCGTGGGTGAATGTCCTGTAGCCCATAGCGATTGAGGATCTGCTGGATGTATGATTCCTGATGCAGGTGAACATCCCCATTGGCCTCTTGATGTACGTGCATCCCCAGGTAGTAAGCACAGAGGCCAAGGTCTGTCATGTTAAAGCGTGAAGCCAATTGACGTTTCATGGCTATGATAAGATCTTCATTTTGGCCGAAGATGTTAATGTCATCGACATAAACTTCCATGATCAGGTTCTCGTCGTCTTTGATAAAGATTGAAGGATCGAAGTTTGAGACTCTCCACCCATTTTCTTCGAGAAATGCCCTGAGTTTGAAGTACCACTGTCTGGGCGCCTGCTTCAACCCATATAATGATTTGCATAGCTTGAGGACCTGATCACCTGTTTCGGGGTACCCCTCTGGTGGTTCAACAAAGATTTCGTGTTCAAGGTCGCCATTGAGAAATGCTGTCTTGATATCCATTTGGTGGCACTTCCAGCCATATCGAGCTTGAAGTGCAAAGAGTATTCGGTAAGATGCTGACTTGACGACAGAAGCGTACGTCTCATCGAAATCAAGGCCATATATCTGTGAGAAGCCTCGCACGACAAATCTTGCCTTGTGTCGAGCAACTTCTCCATCTGAGCCAAGTTTCCGCTTGAAGACCCACCGACCGGTGAGTACTTTGCGGTTGGTTGGTCGATCCACCACTTCCCATGTCTTGTTTTCCAGCAAGCTGTCATACTCTTCTTGCATGGCTTGCTCCCACTGATTCCATTCAGTGGAAGCCAAGGCAGCTTTCCTGTTGTGTGGTTCAGGACCAAATGAGTTGGCTGAGACTGACATCATACAGATGGTTGGCATGCTGGCTTCTTCCACGGTGATCTTCCCCTTGTCGACCGTTTCCCGAAGGGAGACGGGCGACGAAAACGTGGAGGTTGTTGAGCTACTGCTCCTGTTAATTTCCCGTCCATTTTCCATAGCTTGGAGTTCTTGTCGAAAACGAGCGGGAGCTTGTTGAAGGTCATAGACTTGTCTGTGGAGACGCAAAGGCGACAGAGAATGATTTCCTTTGTTGAGGCTGGATACAATGGCGAGATTGGCTTGTGGCTCCAATAGCGCAGGGTCGATGAGCATTTCGCCATCCTCGATTTCGAGATCTTCGTCAAAAGAGTCATCCAACGTTATCCAATCTTCTTCGTCTCCCCCCATCGTCGTGCCTACCTCTGTCATTGGTGGTGGTGATCTCAGACGTTGCGGTGGAGGGCCCCGCGGAATGCCTCGAAAGAAAAATCGTTTATATCCTCCATCGTCATTGAACTGAAGACACGTCGTGCCTTCCTTCGTTCCGAGGAGCTCCTGCTTTGCG